TACTTAAGTGTGAGCACGGCAGATGTCTATAAGTTATTCGTAAGTTACGGTGAAGTCTTCGACAAGTCTGTAAAATAATTTTTCTCGCTACGATCGTCTCCTTTGGACGGTTAAATAAGTGAAAGGATCGCTATCGACTGTTGTTGGTGAGCGCATCCAGGTTGAATCGATTTATTGAACTAGAAGCTTAGTGTATTGCCGCATTGAATGGTAGCAAACAGTTCTGATCTGAACGTTAAGTTCCTGCACTAAACAGTGCTGATGCTTCTTTTGTGGATTTACCGTTCTGAAGCTCTTTGGGATATATTATCTGGTATAACAGATCTGTCATGTCAGCCGCGCTGTTTAAGCGATATTTTGGCTCAAATCAGTCCTCACTGATGAAAGCTGCCAGGTCCCGCTTAAACCTGGTTTACATTTTACGATTTTATACTATATTTAGATAAACCTTTTTTTCCCATTCCTTTTGACAAAATTCCGAGAGTTTACCCCCTACTTTTCAGGTTTCTCATACTGGAAAGCAGTTGAATAGATTTTTATTTATTACGGCGATGAAGCATAAAATTGATGTTCAAATTCAGATTTATTTTTTACGTGTCTCCAACATCGGCGCAAGCGTTAACATTCTCGAATGAGAGGAAGACAACAGATACCATATGCGAATTATTCGGTAAAACATTTATGTAAACAAGTGGTTGTGAAAAAATGGCTTTAGTTAGGTGTGGAATAACCATTGCATACCCATTGCTCTGGTACATGCAGTTATTAAGTTATGTAGAGCATTTCACAAAATACTGTCCAAATATTTTTTGAGTTAGCAAGCACAGCTGATAGCTTTCCAGTAACGCCGGTAGTTATAACATTTCAATTTCTAATACCGGATTTGCCGGGCATAAGAACCAGATTTGTTTCTAGATGCGGAAGGGGACTCCTCTTTAAACAGATCATAGCTTCATGATAGCTGTGAATAATTTGTTCCCAGACAATGAACCTTGAAGTATATCTTAAAATGTCAAGTTTTCTAGAGAGAGGGTTTTCCGATTTGGTGATTACAGAGGAGTTATTCAATGCGATTTTGGTATAGTATGGTATGATATGGTATGCCGCTTTATTTGTGCCATTAATCATCTACATCTTCTCTCTGAAACTCTCATGCAAATGTTGGAACTGAATTAGTGTTAATTTCAGACAAGTATTTTTTTGTGTCTTCGTTTCACACCTTTTCTGCTGTATTCTAATTTACAACTTTCACTACAAATTCTAGTCTTGTGAACTATGGAGCAGTTTCATGGGCTTTGACTGTAACCCGGTGATTTTATTCTTAACACTAATTCCCCTCTTTAGTGGTGTCGGAAGACTCAGCCTTGCAATGCGGTGCCGTCGTCGCAATAAGTTTTTACGTCAGATGATGTTGACATGTTTGGTTGGCAAGCACTTCAGAGGCTTGAGTTTTATTACCATTAACAGGTGTTAAATATATGTTGGACGATGCGATGATCAGCTAAAACTTTGTAATCATAAAACATAGCAATCGCAACCCGTCCATCTTTAATAATTGAAGAAGTTGCTGGCATCCGCATGGCCAGTGATCGCAACCTGAGATGCGAGGAATTTTGTTCGATCAACTAACCGACCGACTCGGACGCTGTTTTGTAACGCTGACAGGTGGTAGAAAATATCTAGAGGCTCGGATAATTTGCCCATGCAGCTTCAGACGGATACGGCGCTTAATTTACACTTTGCTCGGAGTCCGTGGTTTCGCGAACTGTCATTAATCGTCATTAAGTTGACAGCATTAAATATTGCAGCCTGCAGCTCAGGTCGTAACACAGCTTTCTTTGGCAGTAGGCTGGGCAGCGCGACGGCGCTCGTAATTGAGTCGTCAACTGTCTACCTTGCTTCAGTCCATAGGTTTTGAGAAGCCGCGTTCCAGCAAAACTTGAAACACTTCTATGTTGTCTTACTCGAGATGAGGGGGGGCAAGAAGGTGACAGCTGCAAGATCAGCCCCTTTGGGGTAAAACTCGAAATTGTCGATATTATTCGTCACTCACAACGCTACCCTCGTCTCATTTCTCATTTTCGTTCGGGACATTCGCTGTGTATTGTCTACCTTCCTCCCCTCCAGAGCAGATCCTTATACGGAAAGTGTCCTCTTGCTTTGCACATTTACCTCATCTGATGAGCTGTTTTTCGATAGGTGATAACCGATGGCCCAGTTTAAATGTATGATTTCAATATATGTTGCAAACGTTGAATACGTGCTTTATTCCTGTTTACCCATAAGTTTTCCTGTTACTCTCTCGTTCATCTCTTTCCGATTCTGCTCTTCGTATTTTCGTAGTTGCTGCTGTCATTTTGCCATCAATACCTTTCGTTCTTTTTCAGGCATATTTTCTCTTCTTTTTTTCCATCAACGTGTTCCTTTTGCTCATTTTCGTTCTTCCCTTTTTCTGAAACACTCCGGTCGCTAACCCTTGTGAATGATTAATATCCCTTTATCTTTTCCGTCGCCTTTTCCTCCTGCATCGTGTGCATCACAGCTTTTGAAATTGCTTGTCCCTCCGCACGTTTACCAAATACGACTTTCACCCTGTTGCTTTGCTCTGTCTTTTTATTACATTCTTTTTGATTTTTTTCTGTGATATTATGTGATTCCAAGTTTTAATTTTTTCTGTGGTGTGATTCTTCCTTTATTCTAAAGAATGGTGTTCATCGGCGTGTCATTCAACCAGTGAATTCTTAACCTACTCTTCCTTCTTTCCCATATTCTCTTCTTTCGTTCGCTGCTTCCTTCTGCTTATCTCCCTCCCTCTCCTTTTCTTTCACGAACTTCGCCGTATACATTTTCTTATCTGTTTCTCTTGTGTCCTCTTGTTTACTTTAATACTTTTACCCGAACGTCTGCTTCTCTTTCTCTTCCTCGTGGTGCTTATAATTTTTCTGTGTTCTTCACCCTTTCCTTCCTTTCCTCATTTGCTCTTTCGTCATCAGTTCGTTCCATGTTATTTTTTCTCTTTTAATAATCTGTAGTGTAGTGACCTGCTATTGTTACTTCCCTCCAGATTTTTCCTCTACTTCTTGTTTCCTTTCTGCTCCTTTCCTCATCACTCTCGTCTGACCTCACTTTGTCGTTTTTAGTACCTTCCTTTTTCGTTCTCCAAAGTTCGTATTTTGTTGTTCAGCGTAAAATTATTGTGCCTTTCGCTAACATTGATTTTTGTGATCTTTGTGTTTTTTCCTGAGCACTTCTGTTCGGCTGATGCTACGCAAGCTATTGACTCAACTCATTTTTGTTTTTCTGACGCTTTTGGCCGACAGTCTTTTTTTTCACGCAGCGGAAGGGCTGACTGTTGGGTGTGGCGTTGGCTGTGGCGAGCGGGCTCTTTAAAGAAAGTTTTGGAAGGGCTTCCTCTGGACAGTTTTGCAATTTCGACCTAACCTTTGGACTAAAGGCCCATAAACGGCGCTTCTTGTGAATCTGAATTCGGCTACAGAACACTATTTTGTGGAGGAATTTTTCACCGAATAGACCGAATATGACTAGAATTTATTTTTTCCTACTTTTCCTACTAGTTAGTATTAGTATTAGTATACTGGTGTTGTAAACTTTTGCGTTTTGTGTTTTCTTCTATGTACGCGTTGCGGATTCGATAGTTGTAATCATCGTCAAAAGACCGATCGTAAGGTTTTTATATTACCACGGAGGTATCTGTCAGAGATTGAGTGTTTGATTCGTGTATTGGGGATCATACCGAAAACAGCTCAAAATAGGGGTTATTTATTTATAAATTTCCTTCAGCCTTGAACATACAAACTGCTGCGAACTACAGAGAGATTTTAAAGCTAACCCATTTTTATATGTTGAAG